AAATAATTTGCAGAGTGCGTTTCTGGACGAGTCTAGCCCCTGTGGGCCACGGGGTGGGCCGCCCGCCCGACGCGGCTGCACACCACAACCAGGGTTTGCCTAACCGCCAGGCGTTAGCCACGATCGCGGAGACTGCCCTGCGCTTGCCTCGAGACAAATCGCCTGATTTGGAATTATTATTTATTTGCCTCCGATAAAAAGTTCTGCCTGAAGCCACACCGAGCCCTAACCTACCTAATAGCGCGGACTCTACCGCCTCTCCCGAACTGCAGCCCGCAGCGCCCCCCACTCCAGTCAGCAGCTGTTGTTACACCTCCTCCCCCAACAAGTCATGTTTGTTGTACGTCACGTGACTGCAAAGCGACCTCATAAAAAAAAAATACTACCACCATGATCCAGCAGGACGATTCGACACACAAACCACTCGACCCCACTCGGCACGTAGCACCGCTGCTGGACAACCAAAGCCGGGAAGTGACCGAGCTCACACTACGGACTGCACACAAGCCCGCAGCCCCACCCCTCTCCACCCAAAAGGGACTGTCGATAAACCACGAGGACACGGAACAGGGTATTTTTCTCACGATAGAGCCTTTCGTTAAATTTAGTATTTTGACATGGGGTGCTGAAGGGGTACCGTATATTATTTAGCCCACACCCCAATCTATGGTATACCCACTCTAACCACAAGCTTCCGCGTTACGTCTTTGCTATACATAGCAATTCTAAACATTTCCCGGAAGGCGTGAGAAAAGCGACCCCTCAGCCCCAAAGAGTAGTTCAGGTTCGCTTCCCCCTGCTATAGCCTGCCCAATCTCATGGTTACACTACAGCAGCCTCCCCCGCTGGACCTCCCTGACGCTAAGGACTTAACTCCCTGACGTGTGATGGATACAGACGGACCCCCCCCCCCCTCTCTCTCTCTCTCTCTCTCTGCCCTCCGCCGCCAGAGCGTTACAATATGTTGGCCGACAAGACGACACAGAGTGTAGACCCTCCGGCTCACTTTATCCGCTTAGAGGGGCTATCTGCAGACGCCTGGCCACGCTGCGGGGAGAGGGAGGGGGGGG